GCTGTAATTTCCATATTGTTACAGTGTGTCTTGCAGTTTGGTGTATTCTATCACAAGTGGAAAACACAGTCATCGAAATGCAGAAACCAAGACCCTGGGGAAGGGCTAATGGATTACTGATTTGACTTGATTTTCAAATATAACCAATAATTAGTTTACCTTTTTTTAAAAAAAAAAATTTATTTGATTGTACTGGGTCTTAGTTGTGGCTCTGGGCTCCTTAGTTGTGGCATGCGAACTCTTAGTTACAGCATGCATGTGGGATCTAGTTCCCTGACCAGGGATCGAACCTGGGCCCCCTGCACTGGAAGTGTGGAGTCTTATCCACTGCACCACCAGTGAAGTCCCAGTTTATCATTTTTTTTTTTTTTTTTTTTTTTAACGGTACGCGGGCCTCTCACTGTTGTGGCCTCTCCCGTTGCGGAGCACAGGCTCCGGACGCACAGGCCCAGCGGCCATGGCTCACGGGCCCAGCCGCTCCGCGGCATGTGGGATCCTCCCGGACTGGGGCACGAACCCGTGTCCCCTGCATCGGCAGGCGGACTCTCAACCACTGCGCCACCAGGGGAGCCCTCCAGTTTACCATTTTTAACAGCATTAAAAGTTGCATCACCTTAGTTGAAACCACCAAAACAAAACATGAATTAGCAAAAACATTGTTGGAATCTGTGATTCCTCTGGATAGCTTGGCTTGTGCCTATAATGTAGAGATAAAGATTAAGAAGAATGATGCCAACAAGAAACCTGGCGTGGTGTGTATCTGCATCAGGTTGATAAGTGCTTTGTTATTTTGAAACTTAAAGCAGGGGTTTTACGTAAGGTCAGCCTGAAAAGTGATTCTCACATGTTACGTTCTGCTGTGTTTTGATTGGCTTTGAAATGATGATTTTTTATATTCCCTAACAAAGCGTGTGTGACAGCCAACCTTCTGTCTTCCTTGCAGGACAGAGATCCGGAAAAGGCAACCCCTTCAGGATGATCTTCCTTTCCTTGGGAAGCCCCTGGGCCGGCAGTTTTCCTTACCAAACCTGTCTCCGGAAGAGCCTCCACTGCAGACCATGACACTGGCCAGCGAGGAAGCACTGCAGAAGATCTGTGCCCTCGAAAGTGAGCTGGCTGCCCTCAGAGCTCAGATTGCCAAAATTGTGACCCTCCAAGAACAGCAAAACCTCAGTGCAGGTCTGGAAGCCCTACATTTGTTTTAACCAGCAAACTGGAAATTAGGAGAATGCCACTAATTTGAAAAGAAAAAAAAAAAGTATATATAGAAGTGTAACTGAATCACTTTGCTGTACACCTGAAACTAACACAACATTGTAAATCAACTATATGACAATAAAAGTTAAAAAAAAAAAAAAGTAACAGCCATTGGGCTTGTTAGAAAATCAGGGGTCAGCCCTCTGCATTGTCCAGTACAGGACCCAGTCAAGGTTAAGTAGTTTTTGTTTGTTTTGAACAATCTTAATGCTGTCAGAGAGGATGATGAGTGTATTTTGAAAACACAACATATACATACATTGATAACAGTTGAATTGCTACTAGTGAATGCTGTGGTAAACTTAGTTGTCTGTGATAATGGCACCATTCACATCAGACAGGAGGTAATCGCAAAAAACAACCCTGACAGGGTTGAGTGTTGTTTACTGACCTACATGTCCTGAGACAAGTACTTGGCCTTTCTACCTCCCTTTCCGGCTCTAAAATGGGGATAGTAGTTACCTATGGTAGGGAGTAAAGGTGGAGATTATATACGATACCTTCAGCACATAGTAGCTATTCAGTAGTCATTTTTCTCCCTCTTGCCCAGAGTGGAAACTGAATTCAGGTCCTTTGACTCCTGGACTACTACTGTTGCTTTTATTTGTGTGGAACTGTCACTTTGGAGAAGAAACTACAGCCTTGAAATCCTAGCCCATTAACCTGTTGGTAGGTAGTGGTTGTTCTTCCGAGCGTTGTTCTCTGAGTCCTGGCGAGACTCAGCATAAGCCAACTCTAAAGGTTAAAGGGTAGAACAGTTATTCTGCCTCTGAGCCACTTTGCTTGTGGTCCTAGAGTTTAGAGTTTAATGTAACCCCACATGGAAACCTCATCCAACCTGGGTCAGGCCAAGATGGGCAGAGGGTGAGTGCACTCCCCGCACCTGGTGTTACTTAAGTGAAATTTGCACGTAACTTAGGAAAAACCAGTCCTGCCCTTTTCTGTTTAACCTATGAATTACATTTCTCTTTTGCTTTACCTCCCTCTTCTGGCAGACTAGAAAACTACTGTAAATTGTGAGATAATTTGGGGATTTATGTTAGACTTCTATTTACAATCCAGATCCCTTGAGTAAAACTCGTGTGCATCGAGTTCCCCCTAATTAATATAGTTCACCCCCAAAACAACTCTGTAATTTCCAATTGTGCAGAAAGATGAATTTTTAGGTCCTTATTTTAGAACCACTTTAACTCTTGGTTACTTCTTGTTTTGGAAATGAACTATAACTTTTTTTCCTCCCAGAAATTTGTTCAACAATAAATCTAAAACTTTAAACACACTTTGGTCAATGCACATTCTAGTTAATGCTCAATTAAATCTTCTAAGTAAATATACTTAAAAAGAACCACAAATGTATCAAATGGTTTTTTCAAATACTTACTCTAGTACTAAACTGTCAAACTGTATATACTGAAGATAGTTATGTGTGCAGTACAGATGCTCTGTTTCATCTAAAAGTAGCTACACACTTGGCAGCAGTCAAACTTGAACATTGGAGATCACAAAAGCGCCCTGTTAAGTTAAATGGAATGTTTCCATCTGGAGAGTTTGGGATTAAATGATACAGTGACTGAGATGCAGGCATTTAGATTCCAACCAAGTAACTGAAACTTCCTTTCTACTTACGTAACTTCGATTCTTTTCAAGGATACTGTTTTCAGATATAAAGTCCTTAACATAATGTTGCTTTTAAAATAGTTTATTTGCCTATTACCAGCAGGATCAAAATGACTTTTCCTTGTTTCTGTAGGTGACTTAGAATCTACAGCATCCGTCGCCCCAGCGCCACCCTCTGTCCCGCCAGCTCCCCCTCCGCCACCTCCCCTCCCTCCGTCAGGGCTCCACAAAAGTGCATCTGCTATTGATCTGATTAGAGATCGAAGAGAGAAAAACGCCTGTGCTGGAAAGACTTCAGTCAAGAGCAGTCCAAAGAAATCTGATATGCCAAATATGCTGGAGATCCTTAAAGACATGAACAGCGTGAAACTTCGGTCAGTAAAAAGGTGAGGATACATTTGCCTTCTTTCTCACTTCTCTTGATTTTTTATGCCTAAAACCAAGTACTAGGTTTCTTTTTTTTTTTTTGAATTTTTGAATTTTATTAATTTTTTTCATACAGCAGGTTCTTATTATCCAATTTATACACATCAGTGAATACATGTCAGTCCCAGTCTCCCAATTCATCACACCAGCCCCCACCCCAATGCCAGTTTCCTCCCTTAGTGTCCATACGTTTTTTCTCTACATCCATGTCTCAAATTCTGCTGTGCAAACCGGTTCATCTGCACCATTTTTCTTGGTGCCACATATATGCATTAATGTATAACATTTGTTTTTCTCTTTCTGACTTACTTCACTCTGTATGAAAGTCTCTAGATTCATCCACATCTCTACAAATGACTCAGTTTCATTCCTTTTTATGGCTGAGTAATATCCCATTCTATATATGTACCACATCTTCTTTATCCATTGGTCTGTCAGTGGGCATTTAGGTTGCTTCCACGTCCTGGCTGTTGTAAATAGTGCAGCAATGAACAGTTGGGTGCGTGTGTCTTTTTGAATTATGGTTTTTTCTGGGTATATGCCCAGTAGTGGGATTGCTGGGTCATATGGTAGTTGTATTTTTAGTTTTTTAAGGAACCTCCATACTGTTCTCCACAGTGGCTGTATCAATTTACATTCCCACCAACAGTGCAAGAGGGTTCCCTTTTCTCCACACCCTCTCCAACATTTGCTGTTTGTAGATTTTCTGATGATGCCCATTCTAACAGGTGTGAGGTGATACCTCAGTGTAGTTTTGATTTGCATTTCTCTAATAATTAGTGATGTGAAGCAGCTGTTCACATGCTTCTTGGCCACCTGTATGTCTTCTTTGGAGAAATGTCTATTTAGGTCTTCTGCCCATTTTTGGATTGGGTGGTTTGTTTTTTTAATATTGAGCTGCATGAGCTGTTTATATATTTTGGAGATTAATCCTTTGTCCGTTGATTCGTTTGCAAATATTTTCTCCCATTCTTAGGGTTTACTTTTAGTCTTGCTTGTAGTTTCCTTAGGTCCCATTTGTTCATTTTTGTTTTTATTTCCAGGATCAAAGATCTTGCTGTGATTTATGTCAAAGAGTGCTCTTCCTATGTTTTCCTCTAAGTGTTTTATAGTGTCCAGTCTTACATTTAGGTCTCCATTTTGAGTTTATTTTTGTGTATGGTGTTAGGGAGTGTTCTAATTTCATTCTTTTACATGTAGCTGTCCAGTTTTCCCAGCACCACTTAGTGAAGAGACTGTCTTTCCTTCATTGTATATCCTTGCCTCCTTTGTCATAGATTAGTTGACCATAGGTGCGAGGGTTTATCTCTGGACTTTGTATCCTGTTCCATTGATCTATATTTCTGTTTTTGTGCCAGTACCATATTGTCTTGATTACTGTAGCTTTATAGTATAGTCTGAAGTCAGGGAGTCTGATTCCTCCAGCTCCATTTTTTTCCCTCAAGACCACTATGGCTATTTGGGGTCTTTTGTGTCTCCATACAAATTTTAAGGTTTTTTTGTTCTACTTCTGTTAAAAAAATGCCATTGGTAATTTGATAGGGGTTGCATTGAATCTGTAGATTGCTTTGGGTAGTATAGTCATTTTCACAGTATTCATTCTTCCAAGAACATGGTATATCTCTCCATCTGTTGGTATCATCTTTAATTTCTTTCATCAGTGTCTTATAGTTTTCTGCATACAGGTCTTTTGTCTCCCTAGGTAGGTTTATTCCTAGGTATTTTATTCTTTTCATTGCAATGGTAAATGGGAGTGTTTTTCCTTAATTTCTCTTTCAGGTTTTTCATCATTAGTGTATAGGAATGCAAGAGATTTCTGTGCATTAATTTTGTATCCTGCAACTTTACCAGATTCATTGATTAGGTCTGGTATTTTTCTGGTGGCATCTTTAGGGTTCGCTATGTATAATATCATGTCGTCTGCAAACACTGACAGTTTTACTTCTTTTCCAATTTGTATTTCTTTTCTTTCTTTTTCTTCTCTAATTGCCGTGGCTAGGACTTCCAAAACTATGTTGAATAATAGTGGCGAGAGTGGACATCCTTGTCTTGTTCCTGATCTTAGAGGAAATGCTTTCAGTTTTTCACCACTGAGAATGATGTTTGCTGTGGGTTTGTCGTATAGCCTTCCTTAGGTTGAGGTAGGTTCCCTCTGTGCCCATTTTCTGAAGAGTTTTTATCATAAATGGGTGTTGAATTTTGTCAGAAGCTTTTTCTGCATCTATTGAGATGATCATATGGTTTTTATTCTCCAATTTGTTAATATGGTGTATCACATTGATTTGCGTATATCGAAGAATCCTTGCATCCCTGGGATAAACCCCACTTGATCATGGTGTATGATCCTTTTAATGTGTTGTTGGATTCTGTTTGCCAGTATTTTGTTGAGGATTTTTGCATCCATATTCATGAGTGATATTGGTCTGTAATTTTCTTTTTTGAAGTATCTTTGTCTGGTTTTCTCCCATCGCGGAGCACAGGCTCCGGACGTGCAGGCACAGCGGCCATGGCTCACGGGCCCAGCCGCTCCGCGGCACACGCGATACTCCCAAACCGGGGCACGAACCCGTGTCCCCTGCATCGGCCGGCTGACCCCCAACCACTGCGCCACCAGGGAAGCCCTGTAATTTTCTTTTTTTGTAGTATCTTTGTCTGGTTTTGGTATCAGGGTGATGGTGGCCTCATAGAATGAGTTTGGGAGTGTTCCTTCCTCTGCAGTTTTTTGGAAGAGTTTGAGAAGGATGGGTGCTACCTCTTCTCTAAATCTTTGATAGAATTCACTTTTGAAGCCATCTGGTCCAGAACTTTTGTTCGTTGGAAGATTTTTAATCACAGTTTCAATTTCATTACTTGTGATTGGCCTGTTCATATTTTCTGTTTCTTCCTGGTTCAGTCTTGGAAGGTTATACTTTTCTAAGAATTTGTCCATTTCTTCCAGGTTGTCCATTTTATTGGCATAGAGTTGCTTGTAGTAGTCTCTTAGGATGCTTTGTGTTTCTACAGTGTCTTGTAACTTCTCCTTTTTCATTTCTAATATTATTGATTTGAGTCCTCTCCCTCATTTTCTTGATGAGTCTATCAATTTTATCTTCTCAAAGAACCAGATTTTAGTTTTATTGATCTTTGCTATTGTTTTGTTTCTATTTCATTTATTTCTGCTCTGATCTTAATGATTTCTTTCCTTCAGACTTTGGGTTTTGTTTGTTCTTCTTTCTCTGGTTCCTTTAGGTGTAAGGTTAGATTGTTTATTTGAGATTTTTGTTTCTTGAGGTAGGCTTGTATAGCTATAAACTCCCCTCTTAGAACGGCTTTTGCTGCCTCCCCATGTTTTTGTTGTCATTTGTCTCTAGTATTTTTTGATTTCCTCTGATTTGTTCAGTGATCTCTTGGTTATTTAGTAGCGTATTGTTTAGCCTCCGTGTGTTTGTGTTTTTTACGTTTTTTCCCCCTGTAATTGATTTCTAATCTCAGAGCGTTATGCTCAGAAAAATGCTTGATATGATTTCAGTTTTCTTAAATTTACTGAGGCTTGATTTGTGACCCCAGATGTGATCCATCCTGGAGAATATTCCGTGCGCACTTGAGAAGAAAGTGTAATCTGCTGCTTTTGGATGGAATGTCCTGTAAATATCAATTAAATATATCTGGTCTATTGTGTTATTTAAAGCTTGTGTTTCCTTATTAATTTTCTGTTTAGATGATCTGTCCATTGATGTGAGGTGTTAAAGTCCCCTACTGTTACTGTGTCACTGTTGATTTCTTCTTTTATAGCTGTTAGCAGTTGCCTTATGTATTGAGGTGCTCCTGTGTTGGGGGCATGTATACTTATAATTGTTACATCTTCTTCTTGGATTGATCCCTTGATCATTATGTAGTGTCCTTCCTTGTCTCTTGTAACATTCTTTATTTTTAAGTCTATTTTATCTGGTATGAGTTTTGCTACTCCAGCTTTTGCTTTTGATTTCCATTTGCATGGAATATCTTTTTCCATCCCTTCACTTTCAGTCTGCATGTGTCCCTAGGTCTGAAGTGGGTCTCTTGTAGACAGCATATATATGGGTCTTGTTTTTGTATCCATTCAGTGAGCCTGTGTCTTTGGGTTGAGCATTTAATCCATTCACATTTAAGGTAATTATTGATATGTATGTTCCTATTACCATTTTCTTAATTGTTTTGGGTTTGTTTTTCTAGGTCCCTTTCTTCTCTTGTGTTTCCCACTTAGAGAAGTTCCTTTAGCATCTGTTGTAGCGCTGGTTTGGTGGTGCTGAATTCTCTTAGCTCTTGCTTGTCTGTAAAGCTTTTGATTCCTCCGTCTAATCTGAATGAGATCCTTGCCGGGTAGAGTCATCTTGGTTGTAGCTTCTTCCCTTTCATCACTTTAAATATGTCCTGCCACTCCCTTCTGGCTTGTAGAGCTTCTGCTGAGGAATCAGCTGTTAACCTTATGGGAGTTCCCTTGTATGTTATTTGTCGTTTTTCCTTTGCTGCTTTCAATAATTTTTCTTTAATTTTTACCAATTTGATTACTATGTGTCTTGGTGTGTTTCTCCTTGGGTTTATCCTGTATGGGACTCTGTGCTTCCTGGACTTGGGTGGCTATTTCCTTTCCCACGTTAGGGAAGTTTTCGACTATAATCTCTTCAAATATTTTCTTGGGTCATTTCTCTCCCTTCTCCTTCTGGGACCTGTATAATGCGAACGTTGTTGCGCTTAATGTTGTCCCAGAGGTCTCTAAGGCTATCTTCATTTCTTTTCATTCTTTTTTCTTTATTCTGTTCCACAGCAGTGAATTCCACCATTCTGTCTTCCAGGTCACTTATCCGTTCTTCTGCCTCAGTTATCCTGCTGTTGATTCCTTCTAGTGTAGTTTTCGTTTCAGTTATTGTATCGTTCATCTCTGTTTGTTTGTTCTTTAATTCTTCTAGGTCTTTGTTAAACATTTCCTGCGTCTTCTCAGTCTTTGCCTCCATTCTTTTTCCGAGGTCCTAGATCATCTTCACTATCATTATTCTGAAATCTTTTTCTGGAAGGTTGCCTATCTCCACTTCATTTAGTTGTTTTTCTGGGGTTTTATCTTGTTCCTTCATCTGGTACATAGCCCTCTGCCTTTTCATCTTGTCTTTCTGTGACTGTGGTTTTCCTTCCACAGGCTGCAGGATTGTAGTTCTTCTTGCTTCTGCTGTCTGCCCTCTGATGGATGAGGCTATCTAAGAGGCTTGTGCAAGCTTCCTGATGGGAGGGACTGGTGGTGGGTAGAGCTGGCTGTTGCTCTGGTGGGCAGAGCTCAGTACAACTTTAATAATTTGCTTGTCTGCTGATGGGTGGGGCTGGGTTCCTTCCCTGTTGGTTGTTTGGCCTGAGGCGACCCAACACTGGGGCCTACCTAGGCTCTTTGGTGGGGCTAATGGTAGACTCTGGGAGGGCTCATGCCAAGGAGTACCTCCCAGAACTGCTGCCAGTGTCCTTGTGCCCATGGTGAGCCACAGCCACCCCCCGCCTCTACAGGAGACCCTCCACCACTAGCTGGTAGGTCTGGTTCAGTCTCCTATGGGGTCACTGCTCCTTTCCCTGGGTCCCGATGCACACAGTACTTTGTGTGTGCCTTCCAAGAGTGGTGTCTCTGTTTCCCCCAATCCTGTCGAAGTCCTGCAGTCAAATCCCAGTAGCCTTCAAAGTCTGATTCTCTAGGAAGTCCTCCTCCCGTTGCCAGACCCCCAGGTTGGGAAGCCTGGCGTGGGGCTCAGAACCTTCACTCTACTGGGTGGACTTCTGTGGTATAAGTGTTCTCCAGTTTGTGAGTCACCCACCCAGCGGTTATGGGATTTGACTTTATTGTGATTGCACCCCTCGTACCATCTCACTGTGGCTTCTCCTTTGTCTCTGGATGTGGGGCGTCTTTTCTGGTGAGTTCCAGGGTCTTCCTGTCGATGTGATCCCGGTGCCCTCGCAGGAGGGAGAGCACGTCCTTCTCTGCCATCTTGAGCCCGTCTCCCTAGTACTGGGTTTCTCGCAAACTTTGTTTTATAACATGACTACATGAGTAGCTCTAAGTTTTTAGTTTAAAGAAGATTGTGTACAGGAGCCTAAGAGATTAGCAGAATAAACACTTGAAGGTACCTTTCCAGTTTCTCCCCCGACTGCATTTGAAGGCTTTTCGTTACTGTGCAGTCATTCATCCATTGAAGCTGTGTTGCGTCCCTGCTGTGGCAGTTACCAGGCTTTGGAGAAGAATGGAACCCTAATTGCCCTGAAGGAGCACATAACCTCTGCTCCCTCTGAGGGACTGTTATTGGGCACTTCTGTGCTCTTTCATTGAGCCTTAAATCTAGGGTTTCCACTTCACTGCATCAGTGTGTGTCTTTGTCAAGTGTATTAAGTCAAGTGTATTAATGCCAGAGAAGTGCTGTCAGGCTCCCTGTGTGCTTCCCGGAGGGATCAGCACCCCCTTGGTTTATGTTCATTTCTCTCAGGTCAGCACAAGACACAAAGCCCAAACCGGTAGATGCTGCTGACCCTGCTGCCCTCATAGCAGAGGCTCTGAGAAAGAAGTTTGCTTATCGGTATCGATGTGATAGCCAAGGTGAAGTTGAAAAAGGAATTCCAAAGTCTGAATCAGAGGCCACCTCCGAAAGAGGGTTGGTGAGTACTGGGCAGAGTTCTCTCCAAGTACAGCCTGGTAGTTCACTTCACTGCTGCCCGCTGCAAGACATTCAGCTGTGTGCACCTGCAAGATTCAAAAGGACGTATGCTGCAGGATTTAGTCCCTACCTACAGCTACATTACCTATTATAGAAGAGCACAGAGAAGGAAGCAAAAGTTAACTCCTGGTTTCATTGCTTAGTGTGTCCTATGTTAAATTTTCCATGCTGTTTTATTTGAGTATAATGAAGTGAAATTCATTACAGTAACATATCTGAGGACAATAAAAATGCTGATATAGAAAGGAAAGATCATTTTCTCTTAGGGCACCTGTGAGGAAGTCTCCTGAAGCGGGAGAGACATTTGACCAGGGTCTTGCAGGCTGTGGGGCGTGCCAAAGGTGGAGACTGAGCAGATTTCATGGAAGCTCTCAAATATATTAATTTATACATTACCTTTATTCTGGGTACTGTCATGGAGCATATGTGTTTATTCCAGAGATGTAGATATCTTAGAAATTCTAGCATCTCTGAAAGTCTTCAGACATTGAAAAGGAAACTCTGTACCTTCCTTCTTTTATTCGGAGAAGTAAAATTGGACTAAGCTAGGCTCTTGCTAAGGAAATTATAGTTTTCTAGGGTGTAATTTTGTTGTCTCTTTGCCTTTCACTCTTTTGATATGTTTATAACAACTTGTCAATTCATAAAGGTTTTAATATTACCTAGCTGTTTGATTTTTCATGAAGAACATACCTTTGATCCATGATTGGGAGGGGGCATATCATTACTGTTACATGAACCAGTGTCTTTTTTGTTTCTTTTCTAGTTTGGGCCACACATGTTGAAGTCTACAGGAAAAATGAAGGCTTTAATTGAAAATGTTTCAACGTCCTAATAGTGAGCTGAGAAAGCCTGTCCTACTAGTTCAGCTGTTGGTGTATTAGGGCTGTTCGGCTAGTAGAAATCAACACTATTTGGTAAATACCTGAATTTAGTGTCTCCTTTTAAGTCTCAGAGGATTAAGCTATAATAAAAGCACTCTAAGTTTGTTCGCTTTTAAGAAACATATTTATATTCTGATGTGTTTTTAATGTGCAGCCAAGGTGTTTAGATTTCCAGTCTGGAAAACAATTATATAGATTTCAGAACAAAGAAAGGACCTTTGTAGATGTGAGTTTTTAATTCTTAACACTAATTTATCTGTACAAATGTTTTATGTGCATGTATTTGGATATAAAACAGGACATAAGATTTAGCAAGGGGGTGATGAGGGTGCTGATAGTGTCATTTGTTTTCAGCGATCATTTCTATTCAGTGATGGAGCAGGTGGAATAACCAAGTTGTTGGAGTGAAATGGTTTTGAGATTGGAATTTCTTCTTACCTTGAACAGAACTTTTTATCTTAGATTCTCTCTCACGTTTCCTTGGATTGGAGATGGGGTTTGAGTAGGAACCAGATAATGTTTGCTGCTGAAATTCCATAATGCTTTCCTTTAAAGAGGGAAGTCAACGATCATGGAAACCGTTTTCACTGTAGTGCCGTCCAGTGCTGAGGAAGAAAATGTAGTTTTCAAATAGTGAGGAATCAAATGATTGAATTAAATCTCTTTTAGAGTAAAAACTAGAATGTACCATCTTTTTCTTTCAGTTTAATAAATGGCATGAAGATAACTTGCTGCTAATGCTAATACTTCTGGAAATGTCAGCATAATGGAGTTAAAAAATTTTTAATACTGGTCAAAATAGTAGCTTTATAATGAAACAAACACTGAATAGGTGAAAGAATTTCTGTAAGTTGCTTATCATTGGTCAGAATGCTGGTTTGCTGAATTACATTATGTAGCATAAACCTTAGGTGCTATTAGGAAGTAGACAACTGCCTTTCTCCTCTACGACTTCTAAGGAATTGCTACAAGTGATCATTTTTAAATGCTGCATGTATCTTCATGATTTTCTGTATTTCTGTTAAACACACAAAGTTAATGTCAGGACCTCCTACTCTGAGTAAATATTTGGATCTATTATTTAAATCTAGTGAAAAGAAAGTTGTCCTTCCTGGGGGGATTAGGAGATGTGAAGACCATTTTAAGTTATTGAAAATACGTGCAATGTTCTAAATAATAGCAAATATTAGTTGGAGGTAATTTTCATCGTTTGGTTATTCAGCTGAACTTTGAACTGTGGCTTATTTTACACATGTTGATATATTGCTTCTGACTGTTTTCTATGGTTTAAAAATTCTGCCTTTAAAAGGAATCCAGAAAATTCGCCTGATATAAATTTCTTAGGAGGTCAAAGTATGTATGATATTTGTATCACTGTTGAATTTTGGGCAGTGCTCCAATTACAAGGAAGTTACTGTTTTGAAATAAACTTTTACTTTCCTTGGGCCATAATGCCTATACAAATGCTTTCATTTTTTTTTCCCCACAATAGGCAAGATTCTTTTATATTATACATGCAGCTTCTTTAGAATTATTTGCTTTCTGCATTTTTCAAGGGGAAATATATTGCCTAGAATATATCCCCTCTCATTCATCTTTCTCTTAAAGGAACTTCATCATTAAAAAGAGAAAGGCAGTCACTTGGGATGAGGTTCCTCAGGGTTCTCAAGCCTATAATCCACCTCTGGGACTGGTGAAAGCTCTTTTCTCATCTTCCCCTACACCCATCTCATTCAGTTTCTGGTTCTCCCACCCAACACAATAGTTGGGTGAAAGATCTTAAAAATAGTTCAACTCTACGTTTTACAGCTGAGGCTCAAAACTGTGATTCTGACTAGGGACTCACTCTTCTAGAGTGGACCCTTGAAAATGTGGGGGGCGGGACTTCACCTTCCAATACAAGGGGTGTGGGTTCCATCCGTGGTCAGGGAGCTAAGATCCCACATATCCCTCCTAGCCAAAAAGCAAAACATAAAACAGAAGCAATATTGTTAACATGCAATTAAAAGACTAAAATTGGTCCAAAAACAAGAAAGAAAACGTGGCTGTTAGGGGCACTGACTCCCTCTCGTCCCCAGTCGAAAATCCACGCATTGCTACTATCTCTGCCTCAACAACAAATGAATTGGTAAATGACTCACCCAAGGGTGGGTAGGAAGCTGAAACAGTTTGGATAGGGTCAGGACTCAACCCTTAGTTTCTTTGATTCCATGTCCTGCGATCTCTGGTCAAACACACACTTCTCCCCATATGTAACTTAAAGATCTGTAAAATGAAAACACAGGTACTATATTATCTATTGAAACACGTCCACATGTAAGGGGACCCATGCAGTTCAAACCTGTGTTGTTCACGGGTCAACTGTATACATAATGAGTGTGGCACAGAGCGCTGGACTTGGAGCTAAAACACGACCCATGTATGTGATTCTGGCCAAGTCACACCTCTTTTTAAAATGGGGATAATGCTCAGTTCAGAAAACTAGGATTAAATAATGATTCTGAACATGTTCTGTAGATGGCAGCATGCTAAATAAGTTACTACATTATTTTACACACGGTCACTGTAGTGCCCAGTAGACGGATTTCTCCAGTGTTCTTGGCACCTGGAAAAGGTGTCATTCTGTGCACAGGCCTGGGTGGAGCAGTAGGTCTTAGTCTTCAGTCCTGGTTGTCTTCCCAGTCGTAGGCCCTTCTGCAGAAGAATCCTGTCCTCATTTTTTCTTTTTTAAAATTTTCTGACCACACTGCATGGCATGTGGGATCTTAGTTCCCCGACCAGGGATCGAAACAACAACCCTTGCATTGGAAGCACAGAGTCTTAACCACTGGACCGCCAGGGAAGTCTGCTGTCCTCTTGCTGTATTAAGAGTTCCTATGAGTCTGTGCCTCAGGGGTGAAGGAAGAAAACACGAGGTAACAACTACTGGAAACAAACCATCCTCTGGTAACTTCTCCAAAAAACATAAGTTCTCTCTGTAGGTTAGATCTGGCAGATACAAGTTTAAACTTTCAGGTGTTAGCCCAGTAGCACCCGCTCTGGGATTGCCAGGCAGAAGGAGGCATTTGGTTTTACAACAGTATCATTGTTCTGCCTGTTACTGTCACAGTCTGTCTTTCCCATGAGCCTTTAGCCATTCCCGAGTCCTCTTCCCCCTTCTCATCCTAGACTTGGCATTCTTCTGAGCTACCCCACTGAGCCTTTTTCTTAAAATTCTTATTAGTTTTTCCTTGTAAACCTTGTAAGCAGGCTAGTTCTTGGTTCGTACTAGTGTGATCACTTGAGAACAGATAGGACAATAAAATAAAATAATAAAAATAGCATACCCATGGAAGGATCCAGAAATCTTGGATGTTTCCCCGAAAGCTGTTGTCCTTAGTCCACTTGGTAGGGGCTGGAAAACTTAATGTTCCTCTAGCTGGAGCTTCTCAAACTTCTCTCCCCTGGAAGATTCTCCAGCCTCTTCTAAAGGTCAGAGAGCTCCTTCTCTAAGCTGAGAGAATAACACGAGTGTAATTTAGACGTTACCAGGAAGCTAAAGAAGACGATCCAAATGGCGCCTCCCGTTCCATCCCAAACTGCTGTGGCTGCTACAGGGCAGTCCTGTCCCTCCTAACCGCTGTCTTCCCAGCTGGAAAAGCCGTAATTTGGGGAGAAAGACACTCTTCACAACAGGATTTTTACCAGAGTTGTGAACAGCTTTCTGTTCACGTGGCCTAGGAGCCGTCCCTCTCACTGGCCAGTCATGCTTTGCTATCAGAGGATGAAAAAGGGTGAGAAGCAGGTGTGGGGGGGACACTGTTGTGTAACACAGGTGTGATCGGTGACGGTGGAGAGCACGTGACCCTCTGCACGATGATCTCTCTGACACAGCTCCAGAGCAGACTGCCCTCTGCAAGGGGAGCACCAGCTAAAGCAGAGACATGTGTGACTCAGGACGCAGCCCTGACCAGCTGGTCCAGGTCCTCCCTTGGGAATCTGAATAGGAAACCTTGAGCAAGGGGCACAGTTGGTACCTGGAGCTCAAATAAGCACGCCATGAGGTACAGGTGTACCCACGATACCCATGAGCAGTTTATACAAAACAGATGACGAGGACACGAACAAGGACACTGGGACTGAACCGTGTGTCAGGACATTATTTTACCTTCACGAGGCAGACATGTTATAGGTTAGGGAGCCACGCAGATGATGAGGTGACTCGCTAATCCATGACCAAAGACCTTAACACAGTCTATCTAGCCATAAAGACAACACTTTAAAAACTTTACTGCCTTTCCAAGCAGACACTCCTAGGTAGAGAAGAGAAAGGAAGAGGAGAAGTGTGGGAGGAAGCAGACGCAGCAAGAAGCTACATCTCAGAGTGCTCAGACCCCCAGGCTCTGCTTCTACAGCCTTCATAGGGTCTGTCTTCTTGTCGTGAACATGAATCCTCAAGATAAAGCTCCAGTTACCCTGCAGTGATCTGAGTGAGACTCTGTTCCCTACAATGGAAAAGTTAACCCCTATCTTGTGAGGATTCTTAGATGGAAATTCAGAAACTGTTTCCTGCAAATGTTCAACTAGGAACTTTAAACACATTCCTTTATGATACTTTCTTCAAAAGATAAAGCACCTCGGGATACCACGCAGCCTCCCGAGTCTTTACAGGATGCGGCTCAACAGTGAAGACACACTTCAAATATATGCTCAAAAATCTCAAACAATGCATAGCGTAAACATAAATGTAACATAAGATGAACTGTCTTAACAAGACTATTGATGGGGCCAGCGGGAAGCTGCAATAAACCAACAGGTCTCTGTGCTTCAGTTTTAAAATACAGCTAAAAAGAATCTAATACTAAACATGGGGGTGTTTCTCTTTCCC